CATTCCTGAGAGCTAAGGATTTTGGAGAGTCAGATGCAGATGACTCTTCAGATCTGATTTGTTGGCTTTGATTGCATTTCAATGGTCCAAGAAAGGTGACTTTAACTAGCAATTTTCTAACTATATCCTGAGGACTCGCCCTTTGTGAGACTAGGTCAAGAGGTAGAGTTAGACCAGGTTCATTTTTTAGTTTCTGTGTGAGAAAAAAAAAGATGATTCTTTTGCTACTGGAAATCCAATAGCGTAGGTGATCTCTTGGGTCTCTGACGTGGGACAGAAATCAGCTTCTGTTTCTTGGGTTCTACAGTGCTTCGGATTGGATCTCCCAAAGGGGATATGGCATGCACATATAACACTTGTCTTTCATAGTGACAATTCCTAACCACAATGATGCCAAAATGATGACTACTTCATGGGGTGCCTCAAGGTTGCACTCTCCCTCCGCTTTTGTTTAACATCTACATGAAGCCACTGGGTGAGATCATCTCTCAGCACAGGGTTAGGTGTTATCAGTTTCCTGAAGATCCTCAGTTGTACATCTGTGTCCCGGCCAATCACGAGATGTTGTCTTAGTTCTTTCCCAATGTCTGGAGGTTGTAGGGATCTGGATGGGGAAGAACAAGCTTTAACTTAACCCCAGCAAGACCAAGTAGCTATGAGGTTTTGGGTCCCCCAGAATTTGATTTGGATTATTTTCCACCTTTAGCTCTGGGTGAATTTGCACACCCCAATTCAAAGTTGGAGTGCAATTTGGCAATGATCTTATACTTACGACTTCTGCTTGAGAAGCAGATGGCAGAAGCCTTTGCGTAACTCCATCTTGTGCGCTGATTGCTCCCATTTCTGATTTAGGGGGCCCTGCTCATGATCGCTCATGCCTTAGTTGCCACCCAGTTGGATTTCTGCAATGCACTCTACTGTCAGGCAAAGTGGAGGTGTGAGTGCATTCCACACCAAAAATGCACACCAGCGTTAGAGAGATGTAACGAATGCAAGGTCTTTGTCTTGTTCTCCAAATAAATCCAGCCAGAAGTTATAAACAATATCTGTTTGTTTATTGAGGAAAATAAAACTACATAAAATACAAGTCGCTTCTTCTCATTTATGTGGCATCCAAGACTTTAAAAAAAACTTATCCAATACACAAGGTCAACTCCAAAGTCTTTAGCCAAAAAACTCTCAGAGAAGAGGTACACTACTTAGTTATTAGTTACAAC